GCCCACCGGGTACATCTTCACAACCTTCCCTCAAATCGTATGTCTGTAAAAATCTACATTATTTTGTATTTCATCAAACGAAATAAATATATTAGAAACTCTATTTGAAAATAAATTTTATTTGTAGAAGCACTAAAATAATGACGACACGTTCTATAAGTATACGTTGAGTGCTCGCTAAATAAAAGAGAATGATTGGACCATAATTAATAGGGACCGCCTCCTAAAGGATCCATAACAAATACAAAATCAAGGCCATATGGCCAGTACCTTAATTTTTTGAGTCCCAAGCAGCACGATTGCGCTGTTTAGATTTCATATCGAAAAAGCCCAGTACATTTGAACAGTATGGACTATTGGTGGTATACGTAGAGTCTATTGAAATAGCCAGCTCTATCACGCTGCTTGACTCTCTTTCTACTCAATTAGGACAACGCTATTGCGTTCGAAATTTTTGGACATTGTTTTTTTCAATGACTCCTGGGACTCAAACGGTTAAATAATGAAGGTCTTCTCGACTCCCGTCGTTTCTTGTCGCTTTCTCTTTCTCAGAATCACACGCTCAATCACAAAATTGTACGGGGCTTCCGGAACAACCTTTCTAGTTGGTGTTTTTTCCAAGAATGAGGTTAGCTCCTTTCATTTATCACCCGGAGGTCCGTGCGAGCCGGGCACTCGGCGCCGGCCCCCCTCTATAACTCGGTGACCGATCTAACGTGCCGGCGCTCCTAGAGTCTTCGGCCATTAGCCAGCGCCACACGCCTTGAATCGGTCATGGAAGTCGGTTCGAGGCCATCCGAGAATGTCTCCCAGCTACGCGAATCTTTTCCACGATTGCCCGGACACTTTACGAGGCCCTGCTTGACCGGTAACGCCGCACTTTGGAACGCCGTCGCATTCCCGTGCGCGCAGCATCCGGGCATTCGTGTGCCAACCCTGGGAGCTTTAATCTCGCTTGTTAGTCTCGGCGCATATTAACCCTTTGCACTTGTTACGGGGCGGCTGAGCGGATGCGAGGCCGGGGTAATTCGGATGGAGATTACCCAAATCTTGCGCGTAACTATTATTTTAAGTTTGTGAGGAGATTGATCCGAGCGGCTAGATCAATTCCTCTGGTGGGATCTAGGGGAGTGAGGAATAAAAGGGGGTGCGAACGAATGGCTATGTGGCTATAAGATTTGTATTTATTCGTACGCGAGGTCTGAACTACAGTCAGCTGGAAGGGCACTCGAGGTGCCTTGACCTAATTTCTCTAGATTAATATACTTCCGCGTCGCGGCGGTTCGGGTGTCGCGATAGCGCGCTTTAGCGGCGGCAGGTTACTGGACGCCGGTGTGCNAATGACTTCATGACTTAATGACTTAATGACTCTCGTCTTGACCGGACTGCTGGTTTTATTAGCAGGATGTTCCCATTGGTGAGGGCTTCCTAGGGCCCAGGTGAGGGTGACGTTTCTGAGTCGTGCTGATGCGTTGCGGAGTCATCAGGTTGTTTGCCCCGGGTCGGTCGGTAACTTTTGGAGCCGTTTGGCCGATGAACTCGTTGGATTCTTTCGCAAGAGTCGCGATTCTGTACTCGGATTTCCATGGCTTGCTCCGGTGATTGAAAAATAGGGTTTTTCCCTATGTCAGGGTACAGAAGGTACCTACGTAACACACTCGAGGACTTTGCCGTTGGAGTTGCCAGCGGTGACTGAGAGTCACCTTCCGAGTGCAAAGGGTTAATCTTGGAACACGTGGCAGGCTCCCGGTGACGGCCGGGGCACTGCAAGTGCTGTTTGCGGTCCTTCACCTTCAATATTCAACTTCGCGATTGTTTCAATGCGTGTCTCAGAGTTCGATTCCCGGAGACTCATTTGAGGTCAGGCGTCTATGTCGCCCGCCACGGTTCAATGGCCTCATTTGAGATAACATTCAACTTCATAATTTTTATTTTTGGATAGTCACTAATTTTGTCGGTCGGGTCCCCGCAATATCTTTTAGGTTAAATATTGAGTAACCCCCGGAGAGAGAGAAAGCGAAGAATTCGAAGTTAATCCCCTACGTGATTTCGCTGTCCCACCTGGCTGGCGCTACACCTGAGAGTGCATGACCTACTACTTGGAAACCAGTGGCAACGACTAATGGGCGGTAATCGGAGGGGCTCCTCCGTTTTAAATATATTTGGAATAGGGTGTGGGGGAATAAGGAGCTTAAATTCCGACGAACCTGATTCCCCATAACGTGAGGGGGCATTAAGCCCACCACGTTACAATATAACTGTAACATTTGTAGGAAATTGTGCTTTTAATTGAATATAAAAAGGGTATAGCATTCGTTGAAATCATATTCACTAAATTGAATTATAAATTAATAATTGAATTGGCCCTCAGTTTGGGAATCCTGTTTCATGGAATTACGTACATTTTAGAGGCTAAAAAGTCATTATTATTTTAACTATGATGTACGCTTTTGAAAATTCCATAAACAAAATGTGTTGTAACTTAGGGTCTAAGTATATTACAGAGAAAAATTGTGGTTGTACAAAGAAAAATTTCATCAAACAATTATTAGAAAGTTACAATATTTTTGTATCTCTTTCTAATTAACGGAATTGATTCTCAATTTTTTTCAAATTAGCCTTAGTGCCCTGAATAACATATTTTAGTTTTCAAGATGGGCCATTTTGTATTCAAGATTTTCTTGGTCTTTCATAACTTGTTTATAACTTTGAAAAGAAATTTGTTTAAATTGATACTTGTGGTAAGTTGGTCCTATATTCATAACAATTTACCTCTATAAGAAATTTATTTGTTACATATGGAGCATAAGCGCGACGCAAACTGTGCTGCAAAATATCGAATTGAAGAATTCCAAGCTTACAAACGCAACTATACTCCAGTACATCCGGATTGATTATATATAGATTGCATATTATATATTCTACGTTTACATAAACAAAACTTGAGAGGAAAGAAAATGTGTCTGCATTATCATCACGTAAAAAATATTTTAAACATTTCAAATTATAAGTAAACGGTAAATGTAACATTAAATTTGTACGTTTTATTCTTAACTTTTTCATCCTTTATCATCACCTGGATCGTATTATGTTGCCCATTCAAAAGGATTGTAACTTAAGGAATATTTTTAATACCTAGCATTCAATTGCATTTGGGTCACATACATTGGGCGGCTGTTGATTAAATTTAACATTCGATCTATAGAGCTTAATTATAAAAATTCCTGTTTACAAACACACCTTTCTGGATATCTAACATCTTACCATGATGTCTGTTCCTTTTGTATCATTTATAGTGTATGTATAGCAAGTTTGTATTTTTCCATTGCGACGGAAAATCCTAACCCTCGTCGGCAAACCGTCATACGCCCTGCACCTTGCATTCGAAAGGGGTGAAGTCCGATCTTTGGCTCTTCCGGAAAACCGACTTGTACCCGGGCGCCAGGTGCGCATGCGCCTGTGAATTCCGGTGCCTGGTAGCCGAGGCAATTTGACCCGGTCCGATATTCGGGACCGGCCAGGGCGTATCCGACAAGCCACTCAGCCCCGGGAGTTTCCCAACCGTACCGTTCCGTACCGTATCCAGCACTACCGTGCCTTTCCCGGCACGGTACAGCTGGTCAATTCGGTACCGAACGGCACGAGTGAGGAGGATTCGGTCTCCGGGTTCCGCGAAAGGGAAAAGTTCAGGAAAGAATATAAACCCAGAGGTGCGATAGACGGTTCCTTCGGGAGATATATTACCAAACACTAAGTCGGACACAAAATCCCCGCGCGCACGTCACGAGTTAAGTGACTCCATGCGGGGAGTCGGGAAGCGGCATGGTGTCTGGAAGCTAATTAGACGCAAGAAAGGGAAACGGCGAATGTCCAAAAAAATAAAGTACGCGACCAAGAACTGTAGGCCCGACGATAGGGCTCCGGACGGGGTACAATACCCTAGCGGAAAGATCTACTTCTTGCCCTCTAAGGCCGCAGTAAGAACCCGGTGCCATCGACAATTACGCAACGATTTCGGTACCGATTCACGGGATGGCCCTACACCTTCCGCCCTCACTGACCTGCTCGTAAGCAGCCACGATACGATACTTAATGAACGATCAGTAAGGTACTTAATCGACAACAAAATCACGGTAAGAGGGCGCAGTACAAAGGAGCGGGCTGTGTCTTTTTCCGTCCGAAGAATTCTATTAAATGGGACTACGCCCGGGACTTTTACACCTGAAATCCGCGACGCAACAGAATTACTCGCGGGCTAGCTTAATCGGTCAGAACGGTGTCACGTCCGATGTCTGGATGCTCCAGGATGGAGCCGATGCCTGTCGTTGGCTCCTAGTCCGGCAGGTTGGCGCAGCCCTAGATCGTTTCTTCGCTTGGTGGAGTTGCGGGGTACCGATGTTGTGTACCTCTCGTGCACGCGTCTCGCTAGGGCTTCATACTGCCCTGGACCCTTTCCGCAGGCTATTTCATGGTGTCGTCGGCGAGGCTCGTCGGTATCGTTATGGGCAAGGCGGGGTGAGACGGGGCACAATCATAACGTTCGATAATGAACGATCTAGCTCACGTTTTCGATCTGGTCGATTCTTAATTTGTCCAGGTCCTGGCCGTTCGATTTATGCCGATTACGTTTTTCTAGCGTTACTTATATTCAGAGAAATCGGGGTCCCCTGGGTTACTTTAACGGAATCGGATTGAAATTAATGGGAATTAAACGACTTATGTTCCGATATGAATCCGATATGAATGCGATTTCCGCGATAGTCGACCCTTTAAGTGCCGGCATTTTTATTCAAATAAAACGAAACGTCATGGTGTTAAGTTTATTTTAGAAGTGTTCTAAATATACCTAATGGATATTTTTAAATTACAGTTGGCTTTACAATAGAGCTGTCAACTTGTCATTTAATATGTGCGGTCTACAATTCTTTTATCGAATGCAGACATTGAATTAATTTATTTAAAACATCTAATCTAATACATGTTAATTGATACAATTGCAGAAAATGCAGCAACTCCTTATTCAGCAGTGGTTTGTATAAACGACATGGAATATGGAAACGGCTTTGGAAGCAGTAAAAAACAAGCGAAAGCTAATGCTGCTCGCAAAACACTGGAAATTCTGATACCTCAGATGAGGGACAAAATATCTGGCGATGCTGCTGGTGACGGAACATTAAGTAATACCGGTCGAACCATTAAAGCATCGAGAAGTAATTCTGACGCCGATCTTTCTTTCTTCGATGAGATATCTATTACTGACCCGAGAGTAGCTGAATTCTGCGCGAAAACGACAGAGCCTTCACCTCATGCCATTTTGATTACCTGCCTGCAAAGGAATTTCGGCCTCGGCGATATGCATATCAATTATTCAGTGAACACTTTAAAACATCAACGCAATGAATTCACCATGCGTGTAGGAAAGCACGAAGCCACTGTGGTAAGCTACTATTCTGTGTATTATTATGTTAATTTTATGTGCAACTTATTCTTAAGCCTTGTGACGCGGCGTCGGTGCAATATGCCGCGTCGACAATGATTCGGGGGCACCTGGGGGAATCTCGTGTGCCAATACCGTGGGCACGGCTTAGGTCACATGCTTGACGGAATTTTGGGCGCCAGGCGTCACGACTACGACGCCGATCGGCATCGGTTTAGGAACGATTTCCGGGTTTCAGGCCACGGCCGGCTTCCTGGATCTGGTAGAGAGGTCGGGTTCAGTTTAGCACGCGGGCTGGAGGAGACTCGTATCGCTAGAGGAGGGCAAAGAAAGGCCGGCTTACTTTAGTATTAAAACGGAGTGTAGTCTTTATTCTCCAGTCAAATCAGGCCGCCGAATCCTGGGGGCACTGGGACGTGACGAGATATTTTTTTGATCAAGATGTGTTCACTAGGGCGATCCACGAGAGAAGAGAGAGCCTCTCCGTTCGAGTTCGGCCGCGGTCCTCCAAATCGGACGGAGAGGGAAGCGGGATGGGTCAACCGTCGGTGCCGTTGGCTCTCGAAACGTAAACACGGAACGATCGAGAAGAGTCTAGTCGACTCTAGGTCGAACGTTCGAATACTCTCGTCACGGCCACTATTTATATTGCGATGAGACTTTCGAATTCCGAGCTCCGTTGTCAAACTCTCGGCATCCTCCTCGTCGGCGGTCCACATAGGGATGAATGGAAAGACCGTTTTTCTATTTTGGGAAAATTTTGAACGCAAGATGTGATTGCGTACGCCGTTGATCCTCCGTCCCCACCTGAACTCAACCCCGTGTAGGCTCCGCTGCCGGAAGTGTCGCACGGCACAGCGGAGCCATGGATTTGATGTTTGACTCCAAACGGGAAAGGAACACGGGGAACAAATTCAGGAGTAACTGGCCTTCCCAATAATTTTTCGGAAGACATACTTTTTCAGCCGAGACACATAAGAAAATAACACTCCACTAAAAAGGGTTCATGCAGTCTAATTCTTCGTTACGGTACTCAAAGTCTTTCTGTGAAAATCGACAAACGTTACGAAAATAACATAATCGATGGCCCTCCACCCGCCTTGCCGTGGAATCATGGTAAGACTCTATTAACTTGAGAAACGCTCCACTCGGCGGTTTCCTGCCCCCAGTCCGATGCGCAAGAGGTAACGGAGGGCTTGAGTCTTGGAGGCCAAAGAAGCATCCTCGGATCCGAGAAACGCTCTATCCGCCCAATCACGATCCGCCACTCAAGCAATCCAAGAGGGTGTTTCTAGACGTCCTAGTCAGACTGTTCGGATCGGACGGTCCGCACGGACAAACGGATGCCATTACTGATGCGATCGATAATTGTGGGAATTACCCACCCATAATTAGGTTACATTACACTACGCGAATATGTGGTTAGGCAGTCTACCAAACGGGATGGACAACATAACTGATACAAGACATTCAACGCGGCTAAAACTTATTACGAGAGAACGTGGAATTTTCACCCTAACAACACAAGGTTAAAGCCTGCGGCCGCCTCAAAGAACATTTCGGAGCGATGAGTTTCCTGAGATGGAGGACCGCTTGCGATCGACTTTAAGGGTACAGTAAAGCTGAATCCTTTATATTGAATTTTGACAGACATGAGAAAATCACGTGGAATTCTGAATCGGTATTCTACGGAGCGAACAATATTTTCCAACGAAAATCACAATACAAAGAAACTGGATATTCACGAAATGTGTCAGCTAGTCAGTTTATCATGGATCGTGCACTTTGCAACGAGATATTACTCTCCGAAAATTGGCTCGTTGACAAGGTTAGGATTCCGAGGTGATAATTCGACAAGGAATATAATGTTAACGCAAACATGGAGCGGCTAATACATTTTACACTCATTTTTACGGCACCTATATTACAACGAAAACGTTAAGGTGAATTGAAACCCTTCTCAAATCAGTCTATTCGAATGAGACACTTTATTTTAGGGGTATTGGACCATACTGTCCAAACCTTTGGCATACGATTCATGAGCACTTAAGAATTATTCTGACACTTTCAAAATTTGGATTTTCGAAAACACATTTTTGACTTACCCTAGGCCAGAACTATAATGACGTCGAGCTCTCATGTTTACATTGATATACAATTGTTGACGGATCCGATATGAAAAACGAACGTGTCTGGATAATGTAAAACAATCTAGTAATCGAGAAACTCGCAATCAAACGGGATAAAGGCAAAAAAAGTGTTTTACACTCTTTCGTGTTAAAACGATGTTAACCAGAGGTTTCGGAGAGGAAATTTAGTTAGCACTAAATGGCGCAGGGTGACACTGCAGTCAATCAGGGCATTAAAAACCATGAATTCAAGAGATTTTTGGAGTTTTGCTTCGATTTATTTATAATTATTGTACAGAAACGACATATGGAATATGCCATATAGTACAGTACCCAATATAATTCGACACAGCCGTCGATATAAGTACGAACGTGGGCAATGTACACTGGGCTCCGTCGATGGTTTCCTTCTGTCCGCTCTGCCCTCTCCGGCCGTGCAGCGTACTAGCGGCGGGAGCAGCGCGAAATTTGAATCGCCTGAGGGGCACAATGGATTTCCTAAAGAAAATAAATATTTATCAACAAGAACAATTAATAAAAATTATTTAAGTATTATTGTGGAGTGTCTCTGACCCACCTAACGTAGTTTTTGTTAAATGATAATTTACAGAATTTTTAAAAATGATATAATAAAACATGTTTTATTAAATGTTAACAAGTTTCTTAGCGATTCAATTGTTTTATCCACTGAACCGAAGTTAGAATATTATCTTAGCTCAAAAAAAAATAGTTTCTAAATATATATACAGTGAAATGCCGTAGGATAATTTACTATGCATCAACTTTCGGACATAGAAACGAAATCGTGATTTCATGTCTTATATATTTACAGCATTCTTCGTATTCCTCAAGTTGGTTTCAATTTTAGATAAGTGATAAATATCCTTGAATACCATTAAGAAGCAATTTATAGGATGAACTATAGTTTTGATATAATTTTTCCTGTAGATGCCCCAATAGACTCTAAGTTGAGGGTAAATAAGTACAAAAAATTAGAAATATTAGGTCGACACTCAAGAAACAAGTTTTTTTTTTTTCCAATAGAAAATACAATTTGCTATTAAGAACACCATGTGCAACCCTCATCAAACAAATGTCTTCTCGTATTTTTTAGTAACTCACGCTGAAAAAAAACGAGAGTAAATTCATCTAATTTTCTGAGTTAAATGTGGCGAACTCAATAAACTAGTAGACTCAATTTAGATTTGGAGCTATCAATTCTGTTTCAGTCAAGTTTGAAGTTGATTCAACTACAAAATGTGATTTTGCACTAAATGTAAGTTGAACCAACTCGCTTATTGAGTTCGCCATATTTAATTCAGAAAATGAGTTGAATTTACTCATTTTTTTCCCCGCGGAAAAGTAAAACAACATAACTAGAAATTCATGAAAGAAAACATAAATGCTAGTCTTTGTGAATAACTTAAAATACTTTTTATTCTCCTTAAAAATAAGCAACCAATATAAAACTTTATAAATATCTTTAGTATCTGTCAAAGTAACTTGGTCCCGTTTTTCTCGTTCGAGTGCAGTCTGAAAGGTTTCTTGGGTGTCATTTTTATACACTCGATGGCCAATCTTCTTAATGTAAATTCTAACCATCTCTTCCCGATTCGCCCCAACTGATAAGACTGAAAAGGAAATGAATTGTTAGAAAATTTATGGTTTAATTTTTCTCAACCTGACCTCTAATACATTACTATACAATGTAGTCAAAAGATTAAAGTATGCACGTATTGAACGAATAACGCTGGAAAACCTTAATATAAAAAATAAGTTTGTGAAGCAATGAGAAACTACAGGATTTCTCCTTAATTTTCAAATTTGATTACATGAATACATTAAACTTACGATAGTAAAAGATTGAACCATAATTGAAGAGAAAATTTTATATTGAGGAACGAATTGACATTTTTGCAATATGATATATGCAAACAAGTTGTAGCGTATTTCGCGGCGGTTGAATAGCCCCGTTACAGCCCAAAGTAAATTTAAATGGCCAATATTTCGTTATATCAAATGTCTGACAAACATGACACATGGAGAGAAAAGGAGCGGAGGGTGGTGAGTCATTTGAAAAGCGTTCGAGTCCGTCGACACAACCTCGGCGGTAGCACGAAGACGGAGGGTCGGTGCGGTAAGGAGACTGCATACTTGCGTCTCTCTACATCCGCTATGGAGGCCGTATGTCCGAGCGAGATAGCCTATTTGATGCACTATCCCTCTCTTCTTATGCATCTTATGCCTCCCGACGGCGTTCTCGCTTGCCGTCGTTCACCCTCGGGCATTATCGCCCCTTCCTTCCGCGGCTCGCAAGGCGGATTGTCATTTTGCAGCGACCGCGATCAAGTAATTAACAGAGGGAATGGAGGATCAATTCCTCCACGAAGAATGTCGTCTTGAATTAACTGTGCCATCTAGTCGTAATGTTAACCCTTCGTTGTCCATGCCTTTTTCAGACACGTCATTTTATGACTTATATTTGAAATGCAAGTAAACAATTTAATTTCATTTGTTTTTGCCAATGTGGCTATTTCGAGTTACGCGTGTGTTTAACTTTTTCGAGAGTTGATTCAGTTGATAGAACAAGTATCAATCTGATCGATTCTTTTCTAATATTCTCATTTCTCTGGAAGTATTTAATTTCAAATCGAAATAGATTCAAAATCTGTTCAAAATTGGAAATCCATAATAGTTTACTGTTCTTATTTCAAATACGACATAGAAATGGTGTTTTACGTTTTGGATACCTATTTTGAATGAATTCAATTCATAAGAGCCGATTTGCGTTTATAAAAAACTCGGATAAGAAAAGTCTTTCTTATGTTTACGGGTTCTCATTTACATGCTCATTGAATGATTTACAGGTGT